AACACTGCACCTGCGGCGCTGGCTCGTATTTTTTTTCTTCCCCCGTTTCAGTCAAGTGGATGTGATGACGGCGGCGGCGGATGACGCATTAATTGCGCGACACAACTAATCGATGATGAAATTCGTTGCCAACGCTTTTAAAAGTCGATTTTTATCGATTTTATCGATTCGTTGTTGCAGCCCTAGCTGATACCTCAGGAAAAAACACCCTTCCATCCTTGTGCTGGCCTTTTTGAGTGCATCTCTCACATCCATAATAGCCTGTATGACCTTTGGAGCATTTAAGAAAGGCGCGAGCGGGTGCATCACAAATAAAAGCATGGGGTACTCCTATCATGAAATGTACACCACCGTAAACAATAACCCTCTGAGAAATAGTTTTCAAATCTTCTATGAACCCTTGTAAATACTCTTTGTTTGTGGGTTTGGATGCACCTGAGTACACTCCAATTACAAACACACTACACTCTGGAATTTCCTTAATTCTACCCAGAATAGGCCACAGACTCACACTAGAGCTGCGGAATAAGGGTATTCCATCGATATTAATCCTAAGTGTGAGTGTATCAGTCGCTTTAAAATGCTCTAAAGATTTTAGTTCAGATATAAGAGCATTTTCAATCCCAAAGTGATAGTAGGATCCCCCAGCCAAATTTGTCATTTGCATGACCTGTCAGTGGACATAAGAGTTCTGGCATCCATTGGGACATCAAGGCCCTTTCTGCTCAAGATTTTCAAAAGTGCAGAGAGCGCCGTTTGTGAAATGTTGAATTCTGTGGCCCACTCTGCAAGCCCATCTAAAGCATTGTCGTCATCTACCATGTCGGAATATTCATCTCCATGGAAATCACAGTCACTATCTGGCATATCATATGAATCCCAATTTTCATTAATATGATCTAATGATTCAATGTTACAGTCATAAAAAACATCAGTGGAATTTCCATCTTCATGATTACTTGATAAATTGTCATCGCAAGCATCGTAGAAAGTGTCCATGGAATCTATGTTCTCAGAATTAACATAGATGTTGACTGATTAGCCAACAAATCAGTCGGGTCCTGTTTGAGCATAAGAAAATGCTCCTCCAATTTTGCCAATATTTGCCTTTGTGTTCTTTCTGAATGAGTACCTGATAAATTGTCCTCGCAAGCATCAGAAGTGTCCATGGAATCCATTTTCTCAGAATTATCTGCCAACAAAGCCATAGACTCCTTTTCGAGCTCAAGGAAATGTTCCTTCACTTTTGCCAATATTTTCTTCCTTTTTGTTCTTTCTGAAGTCTCCATGATTTCTAAGAAAAAAAATCTTTTAGGTTTCAGCTATGATAAACACAGGATGACAAACTCCAGCCAAAAACCGCAAATGATTTGGTTAGAAAATGTGTTTCTGTGGTTAATCACAGATCTAATTCCATGTTAAGTGAAGCTAGATTTGTTTTGAGTATATTGCATCACAGCAGTGACTAGACTAATGTGTGCATTATAAGGTGGAGGGATTTCAGCTGGTTATATGCACTACATCGTCACTTATTTAAGACCCAAAAAGCGACTTCACTTTCAGAAACAAACCCAAAGAACAGCAACACGCAAATAGAGAAGAAGAAAAAAGTACAACTCAAAGTTGTATGAAATAATCAGGCTTGGAAACAGTAAGCGCGGGTCACTGGAACTACCACGTCTAGGGGAAAGAAAAAAGTCCAGACAGCGCGGCGTGGTCTACTCACGGCCCTTTTAAATTTCAGTCACATACCTACTGCCAAAAAATAAATGAAAAAAATACACTAAACAGCCCAAGCAGCTAAGGTCTAATAGTGTAAGTCCAGCTCTGATTCCCTTAAGACGGTAGAATGTGCCGCAGAGCCGAAGCTCCGAGCAGATGGTGGTAGCAGTTGGCGCGGCCTAGCCCTCAACCACGTTGCGGTCTCAAACCCGTAGCATTCTCTAAACTATGCCTGCAGCAGACACTTTAAACCTAGCTCTTGCACTCTTTATAGTTACTTTCCGAAAAACAGTATTTATTAGATGTAGAAGTATATTCTTACCTGTATGTCGTCCGAAGGATACCGTCTCCGCTGCAAAGATAAAGAAAAATGTCCCTCCAATGGCGCCGTAACAGAGTTAAATAGGTGCACAGATGGCCCCCAGTTAACTTCCGGCTAAGCGTGGTGTCGGAATCCACTTCCGGTTGAAATAGAACTGTTTTGTTAGCAAGACTACTGGATGATCCTGGACGCTCCAAGGTTTAGTTCTGTTTCAGACCATTTTCGTATTTGTTTAGTTAGCTTGGGTGATTTTCAAGATACTAATTTAGTTGTGAAATTATTAAAATGTGAACATTATAAACGTTCCCCTGTTTCGTGTTCACTGCCCCCTAGTGACTGAATTGAGAATTGTGGTAATTTATTTTTCCCCTTCTAAAGTTTGTTAATAAAGGCCACAATTAATGAAATACTAAATTCTTAGCATCCTACCTTCGCAAGACATCGTAGCAAGACATGTTTTTTTAAAAAGCTTTTAAAAGCTACTTAATCCACAGCGTGGTGATGTTAGAACAAATTAACTAAATGAAGAGTGTACAAAATCATTAAGCTATACATCAAATAATAAAATAACAAAGCACATACTATTTGGTTTTACATTAATTCCAGTGTATCAATATGAAAGTAGAATTCACCTGTGTGAAAACAATAAAGGAAGCGACATTAGAAACTTTTAGAATATGAAATACTCATCAGGGCCGGTTTATTATGAAACATATTGATCTGTCATCTCAGTAAAATTTTGAGATCAAAAGTTTCAGCTGCTTCACTGAAAGGGGGGGTTGTGAAGTGATTTAAATTACAATTATTTAAATGATTTATAAATGTATCATTTAAGTAGGCTGGATTAGTGTGGGATTAAAGACTTTTACTTCTTAAAAATAAAATAAAATAGCATAAAAAAGGAGACCTTTCAGTGGCTGTTGTTATATAACATGTCGATTTGACCATTTTGAATTTGTAAACCAGCCCAGCTGGAGCCCACCTATTGCCCATGCTTGGTCTAGCCCATCTACTGCCCACATGACTCATGTGGGCAGTACATGGGTCCCAGCAACAGAGCCCACCTTGAGCCCAAGCCCAGCTGAAGCCCATCTAGCCCAAGTGAGGCCCATATGGGCCCCACCTGGATGTGTTTGCTGGGTACAGGCAGCTTATTTGACTGAATTGATTTGATGACCTACTACAATGATGATTTAAGTTATTGTAGGTTATATTATATCATTTCATATCTATGTTTAAATTAAAGATATGATTGATATTTTTAAATGCAGCAAATAAATAATCTAAAAATATATAAAATTTTGGGGAAAATGTAAATGAAAATATTTTAAAGCAATAAGTACAGTAAAAACAGTAAATAAACTAAGTTGATTTGAAATCAACTTTAATTCAGATAAGTTAAGTGATAACTGAGAGAAAAAGTATGACACAATGAGAATATTAAAATAAAAATGCAACAGCTTAAAAGTTCCTATTCCTTTTAGACTGCTCTAAAATTTTTGAAAATTTTAATGATGAATGCAATGAGGCAAATTTTTTTAGAGGATGCATCATGTTGACAGATACGTTAGTAAACACAGTTCAGTGTATCAGATAGTTGGAAACAAATCCTGTATCGGTCATATGACTTTCTTGAAACAGTCACCGGTAGTATTGCCACCAATAATATTGCCAATTTCAAAGTCCCATGAACCAAAAATCAATTTGACACACCTGGCCAAAAGTCAGAACCAAGCTCAAAACATTTGACACACTTTTGAATGGCTGCATCGGCTGGATAGTTATGAGAACTACATTTGAGCCGGTATCCAAGTGTCTGCAATAATTTGTTACTGAACTCTTTTGTTACTTAATAACAGTATTGATAATGATTAAAGATAAATTTATATGTATATTTTTTTATTCCTCCCTTGTTAAATTTGTATGTGATTAACATCCCTTCTGTTGCATAACAGCTTGAGGCAAGCCTTTTGTTTTTTGTATTAGCGGAATGTTGCATAATTATACCGTATAAAATCATATTTTAGGAGGTTCTTGACAGAATATTAAGAATCTAGGAGGAGTATGTGCTTCTGCGAGGATGGTGGTTGTGTTACTTAAATTGTAAAAGAGTGAAAGTTGTTCACTTTTTTTATTATTAAAAAAAATTTTTTGGTTTTAATCTTCTCTTCTTGGGCCTTATAAGGCTTTAAAGGATTAGTCCGGTCAGCAAGGAATAATCAATGGATCATTATTTATACCAAGAACTAAAGACGGGCATAAACTGTGCGATTTAAAGCAGCAATTTTCCCAACTCCAGCAGCTGCTGCGTTTTGCAGCACGTCTCGCACATCAGATGGTCAGACACACTGCTTCTGCTGCTCAAAACGCGCTGCAGGACCTTTTTTTGCGCCAAGATGTGCATCAACCTTCTGCTTCTGCTGCCTCTGCTGCTTGCGGGGTGAACATAGCATTATAGTCTCTGTAACCAAGTTAACGATTAATCAATTACTAAATTAGCTGACAATAATTTCAATAATCGATCATTCGATCAATCTGAATGGTGTAATAGCTCAAGACATGGAGGAAAGTCAAACATCAGTGATAGATAGCAGTAATTACCTCTGGGGTAAAACACAGGAGACAATAGTGATGAATCATTCTCTTAGCTTGCCTTTCAATGAGAATTTTGATTACTAATTAAATTTAAGGCAAATTTTCAAGGACTTCTGTGACAAAGTATGAAGGATAAAAACTGGAAAGATTTAGCTGGAACAGACAGATTGATTAAGACAGTTTAGAGGAAAAAATCTCCAGCAAAATTGGGCCGAGTGTAACTAATCTTCTGCCTAGGCCAACCGGGGGTTTGAGAAGACAAAGTCAGATACAATAAATAAACACAGAAGCACAACCTGGGAAAGGAGAGGGTTATTCTTTCACTTGCATTTATCAGCTTTGGTTTTGTCTTTTTATCCAGATTTCCCACAAAATTGTGTGTGCAAAGAAGAGGAGGATTCCACTGAGCTCTGCCACCAGGAGGGGAACTCCACATCTGTAAAAGAAGAACCAGAGCCTATGCAGATAAAACAGGAGCAAGAGAATTGCAAATATCAAGAGTTCAAAGAGGAAGAGAAGCAGCAATCAATCTGCCCTTCATTCTGCATCAGTCAGGAGGAAGAGCAGGTTGTGCTAAAAGAGGAGACTGAATACATTTTGGTGAATCCTCCTTATGTGCAAAAAAACAGCAATGAAAGGAACCCAAACAGGGACCAGCTTATCTCACATGGCTACTCTGAAGAACATCAGGATCAGGAAGGAAACAGTTCTGAAAACCAAGGAAGAGACAAAGAGCAGAAACAAAATGAGGGGGGCCAGAAAACTGAAGAGCAGAAAGGCACTTCTGACAGTTCAAATCCAAACACACCCAAAATAAGTCACTCAGCGGAGAATGGTATATATATATATGTATATTTTTTTATTCCTCACTTGTTAAATTTGTATGTGATTAACATCCCTTCTGTTGCATAACAGCTTGAGGCAAGCCTTTTGTTTGTTTGTATTATCGGAATGTTGCGTAATTATACCATATAAAATCATATTTTAGGCAGTTCTTGACAGAATGTTAAGAATCTAGGAGGAGTATGTGCTTCTGCGAGGATGGTGCTTGTGTTACTTAAATTGTAAATGAGTGATAGTTGTTCACGTTTTTGTTACCGTATTTTCACGACCATAAGGCGCACCGTACTAAAAGGCGCACTCTCAGTTATGTGTGCCATTTCTGTATTTAACACACACATAAGGCGCACCGGACTATAGGGCGCGTTTTTTATATACAGGTCCATGTCCTCTACTACCTTTAAATACCTCTACTGCGTATTTAAAAATACAGCGGGGGCAAAACTGAGTATGACTGTGCTTTATTCATGTATTTATTACAAAGTATTAATCAAACCTGGGTGCTGGCCGTGAGACAGACACATCGCAGATGACACAGCGCTGTGATCACTCCTAAATTAACTTAAAATCCTGAAACCTGCCGACGGAATATGTTCGCTTTTATTACCGGTATCCTGGTGCCTGCAGTTTAAATTATTTAGATGAAAAACACCTGCCAGCCACCGCGTGAACCCGGAGGCTGCCCAGCCTAGAGGCTGCTGATGAAGGGTTTTTTACTGTCGGTGCACCGCTGGTATGTCGGGGTCTGAGCGCCTCCGACAGAAATAGATAATCTGGATGAACTGACTGCAATTATTAAGTTTTCAGGTGGACTTTCTCACTTAAAAACACATTAAAACTACTTTATTCCCACTGATCACAGCAAATATAGCTGCAAGATTTAGATTATTTAGATGAAAAAACACCTGCCAGCCGCTGCGGTGAAGAGGAGGAGACCCTGCCCAGAGGCTGCTGTTGAATTAAGTTTTCAGGTAGAAAAATAGAGCGGGAGCAAAACTGAGTATGATTGTGCTTTATTCATGTATTTATTACAAAGTATTAATCAAACCCATCGAAGTCATCATCCTCTGTTTCTGAATTAAACAGCTGCGCTAAATCAGACATGCCATTTCCCCTTCTTCGCTGTCAGTCACTTTCCGTGCAGCGCAGCTCCTCAGAAATAATGCCGGCTTTTGCAAAAGCTTGAACAACAGAGCCAGCAGACACTTTAGTCCAAGCATCTACTATCCATCTGCAAACTGTGGCGTAACTTGCCCGGCGCTGCCTTCCACTTATCCTAAAACTGTGGTCTCCGTCTGTCATCAATCGCTCCCACGCCGCTCGCAGCCTTACTTTGAACGGCCGCTTCACACCGATGTCGGGCGGTTGAAGTTCCTTTGTAAGACCCCCGGGATAACGGCGAGCACAGCGTTCATTGATTCACCTTTTTTTTCACATCAGCTGTGAGATGGGCACGCAGCGATGGTGATGCGTGGAAAAAAACACCTGGTCTCCTCACATAAACCTCCCCCAGCCACGCTTTCATCATCTCCTCATCCATCCAGCCCTTTTCATTTAATATATGTCATCAGAGCGCTGTGTCTGTCTCGCTGTCAGCTCCCAGATCAGCTTCTCTGATTGGTTGATGCGGCGCGTCCAGCAGCAAAACTTCAATTTTTCCATCTCGAGCAGCAGCAGCGCGTTGGCGGTGCGTCAGATGCTTAAACGCTCCCGACGTGCTGCACCTGCGGCTCAAAACGCGCTGCGGGACCTTTTGCTGCACCTATACGCGCGTCAACCATTGACTTTGCATGTAAACTCGCTGCTTCTGCTGCACCTGCTGGGTCCGGTTCACACCGATGTCGAGCGGTTGAACAGCGAGCACAGGGTTAATTTGTTTCCCCATGTTTTTCACATCAGCTGTGAGATGGGCATGCATGGAGTCACAGATTAATGGTGATGGTGATGAGTGGAAAAAAAAACACCTGGTCTCCTTACATTCAACCACTCTTTCATCATCTCCTCAATGAGGTGGTCTCAAAAGTCGCAGTTACAACACACATAGGGCGCACCGCACATTTTGAGGGGAAAAAAAAGACGTTTAAGTGCGCCTTATAGTCGTGAAAATACGGTATTTGAAAAAAATTTTTTTTTTAATCTCGTCTTCTTGGGCCTTATAAGGCTTTAAAGGATTAGTCCGGTCAGCAAGGAATAATCAATGGATCATTATTTATACCAAGAACTAAAGACGGGCATAAACTGTACGATTTAAAGCAGCAATTTTCCCAACTCCAGCAGCTGCTGCGTTTTGCAGCACGTCTCGCACGTCAGATGGTCAGACACACTGCTTCTGCTGCTCAAAACGCGCTGCAGGACCTTTTTTTGCGCCAAGATGTGCATCAACCTTTTGCGTCTGCTGCCTCTGCTGCTTGCGGGGTGAACATAGCATTATAGTCTCTGTAACCAAGTTAACGATTAATCAATTACTAAATTAGCTGACAATAATTTCAATAATCGATCATTCGATCAATCTGAATGGTGTAATAGCTCAAGACATGGAGGAAAGTCAAACATCAGTGATGGATAGCAGTAATTACCTCTGGGGTAAAACACAGGAGACAATAGTGATGAATCATTCTCTTAACTTGCCTTTCAATGAGAATTTTGATTACTAATTAAATTTAAGGCAAATTTTCAAGGACTTCTGTGACAAAGTATGAAGGATAAAAACTGGGAAGATTTAACTGGAACAGACAGATTGATTAAGACAGTTTAGAGGAAAAAATCTCCAGCAAAATTGGGCCGAGTGTAACTAATCTTCTGCCTAGGCCAACCGGGGGTTTGAGAAGACAAAGTCAGATACAATAAATAAACACAGAAGCACAACCTGGGAAAGGAGAGGGTTATTCTTTCACTTGCATTTATCAGCTTGGGTTTTGTCTTTTTATCCAGATTTCCCGCAAAATTGTGTGTGCAAAGAAGAGGAGGATTCCACTGAGCTCTGCCACCAGGAGGGGAACTCCACATCTGTGAAAGAAGAACCAGAGCCTATGCAGATAAAACAGGAGCAAGAGAATTGCAAATATCAAGAGTTCAAAGAGGAAGAGAAGCAGCAATCAATCTGCCCTTCATTCTGCATCAGTCAGGAGGAAGAGCAGGTTGTGCTAAAAGAGGAGACTGAATACATTTTGGTGAATCCTCCTTATGTGCAAAAAAACAACAATGAAAGGAACCCAAACAGGGACCAGCTTATCTCACATGGCTACTCTGAAGAACATCAGGAAGGAAACAGTTCTGAAAACCAAGGAAGAGACGAAGAGCAGAAACAAAATGAGGGGGGCCAGAAAACTGAAGAGCAGAAAGGCACTTCTGACAGTTCAAATCCAAACACACCCAAAATAAGTCACTCAGCGGATAATGGTTTCTCATGTATGACCTGTGGAAAGATTTATAGTCAAAGATATCGTTTACAACGTCACATAAGAAGTCATACCGGAGAGAAGCCTTTCACATGTACAACCTGTGGAAAGAGTTACATTGACAAGAGTAATTTAATTTATCACAATAAAACTCACACTGATGAGAAGCCTTTCTCATGCTTGACCTGTGGAAAGGGTTACAATAAAAGATCGCTTTTGAAATGCCACATGAGAAGTCACACGGGTGAGAAGCCTTACACGTGTGCGACCTGTGGAAAGGGCTGCAGTACCAAACCGAGTTTAGCTTATCACATGAGAACTCACACAGGTGAGAGGCCTTACACATGTACAACCTGTGGAAAGGGATTTAGTACAAAGACCTGTTTAGTTTATCACACAAGAACGCACACAGGTGAGAAGCTTTTCTCATGTGAGATCTGTAAGAAAACGTTTGTAACTAGATTTGAAATAACACGTCATATGAGATCTCACACAGGCGAGAAGCCTTTCTCGTGTACTATCTGTAGTAGAAGTTTCGCTGAAAAATGTGTTTTAATTGATCACATGGCCTTACACACAGGCAAGAAGCCTTTCTCATGTATGACCTGTGGAAAGAGTTTCAGCAGAAAATGCTTTTTAAAACGTCACATGAGAACACATGAGAAGTCTTACACATGTACAATCTGTGGAAAGGGTTACAGTGAAAAGAGTGCTATAATGTATCACATGAGGACTCACACAGGCGATAAGCCTTTTTCGTGTATGACATGTGGAAAAGGTTACAGTAAAGAGTATCTTTTAAATAGTCACATGAGAACTCACACCGGAGAGAAACCATTCACCTGTACAACCTGTGGAAAGAGTTATCGTGTCAAGAAAAGTTTACTTTATCACATAAAAACCCACTCAAGTGAGAAACCTTTTTCATGTGAGACCTGTGAAAAAAGCTTTAGAACTAGATCTGATTTAACACGTCATATGAAAACTCACAAATATGAAAATCTGTACAAGTGTAAAACCTGTGGAAAGGGTTACAGTGACATGGCTAGTTTACTTAATCACATGAGAATTCACACAGACGCGAAGCCTTTCTCGTGTGTGACTTGTGGAAAATGTTACAGTAAAAGGTCTCTATTAAAGTGTCACATAAGAAGTCACACAGGCGAGAAGCCTTGCACATGTACAACCTGTGGAAACACTTACAGAAACAAGGCTAGTTTACTTTATCACATGAGATCTCACACAGGTGAGAAACCTTTCTTATGTGACACCTGTGCAAAAGGCTTTAGATGTAAATCTGATTTAACACGTCATATGAGAACTCACACAGGGGAGAAGCCATTCTCGTGTACTACCTGTAAAAAAAGTTTCACTCGAAGAAGTTCTTTAAATTATCACATGACCACTCACACAGGCAAGCCTTTCTCATGTATGACCTGTGGAAAGTGTTACAGCACAGACTCTCTTTTCAAACGTCACGTGAGAAATCATACAGAGGGAGAGAGATAATTAAGCCACCTTATGTCAAAAATGATTGATGACATATGACCTTATGACCTTATTACCTCCCCCCTTCCGGTCCCATCCCCCACAAATGATTGATGACTTATGACCTCATTAACTTACCCCTCCCCCACAAATGATTTATGACCTTACCCCTCCCCCACAAATGATTTATGACCTCACCCCTCCCCCACAAATGATTTATGACCTCACCCCTCCCCAACAAATGATTTATGACATCACCCCTCCCCCCTTCCAGTCCCATCCCCCACAAATGATTTATGACATCACCCCTCCCCCCCTTCTGGTCCCATCCCCCATCCTTCCGAGCGGAACATCTTTATTATCCGAGACGCCAATTTCTGTATTCCAAGCTTCGAACCACCCCCTTGAAGCTCCCAAGAAATCGGCAATGTATTTATGCAGGGTTCAGCATCCTCCTATAGAAACACTGCATGAAGAATGGTCTTTAGAGGATTCTGGCATGGTTGGTGCGTGGGGATACATCTTCAAATATGAATCCGGTGAGCTCTACCTTTACCAACTGGACCGAGAAGAGAAGCTCACACCCTTTTCTGATACATGGAACCTTACCTATAATGACTGGGCAGTGCTGAGGTTGGTGGTCCCCTACAATACAGAAATAAACAGGGAATTGGCTACTCCAGACCAGTCAGAGTTGATCGGTTTTCCATCTGATGTTGAAATCGTCAACGGAGAGATACTCTTTAGCGCAGTTTGGCAAACAAAATCTACCACAAACGGGTCCTGGTCTCTCCGAGCGAGCAGGCGAAGGAGCTACGAGGCTTTTTCCCCCGACCTGTTTTTTTTAGAAGTTCTAAACGCAGAAAGTGGGATCTTTAGGACCATGCTGGCGTTACCCTTTATTGTATGGCGCCATAAAATGATTGAAATTGGGGATCGAATTTCCAACCTGTTCTGGAGTTCACCCTGCTGGCTTGACATTCTGACTGTGAAAAAAAACCTCTTTTAGACACGCCCTCTACCCTCCACCCTATATATTTAGCATGAGGAAGCATACCAGCACACATCTCTTCAAGAAGGGCCGTATCTACACCGGCTAGAATGGGGTCGTACTGGGATTTATACTCTCCTGTTTCCCCCACAGCAACTCCATATCTTCCATCTTCACCACCCTACCCTCTGTAACCGGTGCTTTTTCCAGACGAAGCTAATCATCCACCATCACCAGCACCTTTTCCAAGCGAGACTAATGAAGTAAATGTCCTGAAGGAGGAAAAGAAATTGCTTCCCACTCTTTCCGAGTCTGATGAAGACAGGGCGGCGGGAGCCTCACCTGATTCGTCCGAAGACGAACAAACCAGCCTCATCGTGCATCCGGCGCAGACTCCGCCGATTATAAATGGGGAGGTGGATGAGGATTGGATCTTTTCCTCACACATTGCTATAGTGAAAACAGCCATGCTTCATTTGATTAACCACGTCGCTTTGGAATATAATCGAGAGACTTGTTACGGATGTCAAACAGACCACCCGAGCCAACTCCAGCATCATTGTCTCGAAGTATTGAAAGAAGAATTCTATCAGACTAACTTTATCACGCTTCAACGTCGACTCAAAACACCGCAACTCATTCCAGCCATTCAACATCTGATGAAAGAACGCGGACAAGAAGCGGAGGATTTCAGGGTTAAGATAATTGTGGAGACTCTTTTGTACGAACTCAGATCTTCGTTCGGACTGCGTGCTGCTGTTGAAGAAGTGTATCGGAACAACAGAGAAATTTACAAAATCAAACAACTCTGTACTATTTCAAACATCTTTGGTCGCACCGGATGAATGATGTGCTATTTAGTTGCTTGTTTATCTTCTGTATCACTTGGAAGTGATTGAAAGAAAAAAAAGATTTAAAAAAAAATTTTCATTTTCATTCCTATTTTGTTTTTCACATTTCAAGTTTGTAGTTATGATTTGAAACGTTTTTACATTTTGTAGTTTGTAGATGTGATTTGAATAGTTTTGTTTTTACATTTCAAGTTTTTACATTTTGTAGATGTGATTTGAAAAGTTTTGTTTTTACATTTGGTAGTTTGTAGATGTGATTTGAAAAGTTTTTACATTCCTAGTTTGCAGATGTCATTTGAAAAGCATTACATTATGAAGAATTTTTCTGGGTTTTGTGTTTTGTTGTTTTACTCATTTACCCGTTGTAAATAAAGGAGAAAAGAATAAAAAGTCTCTTTTTTTTGATTGTTGGTGTAAGGAATAGGATGTCTGATCGTGAAGCTATAAGAAAAGTCTACTATAACCCTTCCAATCCTGGAAGTTTTGGGGGAATAGATAGGTTAAGGAGAGCTTTGCAGAATGAAAATGGGAAAAATATAAATGTAGCTGAGGTTGAAGATTTTTTGTCTGAGCAAGACGCTTTCACTCTCCACAAACCGGCAAGACTTCATTTTCCAAGGAACAGGGTTTTTGTCTCTGGGCCTTTGAAACAATTTCAGGCAGATCTTTGTGACATGCAATCTTTAGCCGACCAAAATGACGGATACAATTATTTATTAACGGTAATTGATTTGTTTTCCAAAAAGGCTTTTGTCCAAGCTCTTAAAAAAAAGAAGTAGTAAGGGCGTTTGAATCAGTGTTTAAAGACAGTAAAATTCCTAAGAAGCTTCAAACCGATGCAGGGAAAGAATTCTTTAACAAAGACTTCAAGGCCTTAATGAAAAAATATGGAATTATCCACTTTGCGACAGCCAGCGATCTGAAGGCCTCCGTCATAGAGCGGTTTAATCGTACACTCAAAACAAGAATGTGGCGATATTTCACCGCTAATAACACACGGAGATATCTGGATGTGCTTCAAGATCTTGTAAAAAGCTATAATCACAGCTATCATTCCAGTATAAAAATGACCCCGATGCAGGTTTCCTTTGAAAATAAAGACCAAGTTCTAAGGAATCTTTACGGTCGGAAGGTGGGGAGAGAAAGAAAGAAGGCAACAAAGAGGAAATTTAAGAAGGGTGACCCGGTTAGAATTTCAAAGTTAAGAGGGGTGTTTGATAAGAAATATGAACAAAGCTTTACGTATGAAATCTTCACCATATCCGAATGCGTCAGTCGTTCTCCTTCTGTGTATAAATTAACGGACTATGATGGAGAGCGGATCGAGGGGTCTTTTTACGAAGAAGAAATACAGAGAGTCCAAATACCCAAAGACAAGGTATACCATGTGGAGAAGATATTAAAACGACGTACGCTCAGAGGTCAAAAACAAGTGTAAAATTGAAGAACTGGCCGGAGAAATTTAACAGTTGGGTCAGAGCGTCAGACCTGATTGATGTATAAAAAAACCCTGCATTGAACCCACCACCGACACTTTACCATGGATGCGGTGAGCGATAAAGACGGATTCTATATTACATTACCGTCTAACAGCAGCGTGGACGTATTTAAAAATAATACCGGATCTAGTTTCTGCGTAAATTTGGGGCTGCATATCAATTTAGAAGGTAGATGGCAGGTTGCCTTGGTAGAGATTTCATATCCCCACACGTGGTTTAACGTCCCTGCAGAATCGGCCTATTTTGAATGGCGGGAAGCTGGATGGGAGCAGTTCTTCCGGCAGAATATAACGCACGGATAATATGAGGACATGACGCGATTCAAAGCGGAGATTGAAAACCATCTTAGAAAAATAGAAAGTGATATATATTTAAAGATGAATATGATTGAAAAAAGGATATTTTGTCAAGCAGGGGGTCGGTACAATATACGTTTTTATCCTCCTATAGCTTACATGTTGGGGGCAGAGCCGGGAAAATGGATTTTGGCTGGTAAAAGAACCCTTCCTCACCCTTTTGATCTAAAAGGTGGTACAGATCTTTTTTATTGCTATAGCGATGTAGTCGCTCCACAGGTGGTGGGCGACGCTTATGCCCCTCTCCTACGTACCGTGAAAATAGAAGGCCGATACGGCGATATTATCACGCAACATTTCAATCCTCCTCACTATTTACCCGTTTCAAAAAATCATATTGAAAATATCCACGTAGAAATAAAATCCGATCAAAACGTACCGAATAATTTCAGCTACGGAAAGACCGTTGTTAAACTACATTTTAGACCAGTCTCTTTGAAGCGTATGAGGAGAAGAAACATATAATACAACGTGTAATTTACCCCGATCATTCAAAATTTATATTTCTGGGAACAACGTTCATATCATCACTTCACCCTAGACTCCCCTTCTGAACTATTTTACCCTGCTGCATCGGAGAGAAGCAAATAAATAAATAAATCGTACCATGGCGCGTATCGGATTGAATACGGATCCCCATAGGTTTATACATTATTACCAAAATCAGGTCGGAGGCGATTTAGGAGGATTCAGCGGCGCTCTCGTGTTACACGGGCGTGGGATCGGAGCGATATTTTCAAGATAATTCAGATTTGTCTCACCCCTATTTAAAAGCGGATTTTCTATAGCTAAACCTCATCTTAAAAGAGCGGCGAGCGGCATAGCCTCAGACGTGATCGGAAAAGCTATGAAGAAGATATCGGGAAATGAGCAGGACGGTTCAGGGTTGATGCTTTTATCTCGACGAAACAAAAAGCGTCCGCCCGGAGAACGTGTTTGGAACTTTCAAAAACGCAAGAGCGTTAAAAAAAAGAAATCATCAGGAAGAAGCAAGGCTAAGAGCAAGAAGTCTGTCAGGAGAGGAGATATTTTTCAGTGAGGAGGAGGAGAAGACATGGCTCTACTGCATCAAAAGTCCCCGGAATGCAGTTTGACGGAACTGGACTTATTTTCCGCTCCGATGACGCAACTGTCTATAGAAGATAAGGTTTATACAGAAATTCATCCTCTCTCGGCTCTTACAGAGATGGGTCCTATCAAATTTTTTATCTGCGGCGAAGGCGATAAATATTTGGATCTAAACGACACACTGATCCATCTACGTCTTAAAATTACTAACGTGGATGGTAGCTGTTAGTGATAATTATAAAATTATTGTGTGGACATATGAAACATTGAAAAAAAAGAGGATGCTACATTTCTATCCTGTGAATCAACCAGAAGGGTCATAAACTTTTATGACCTCTAGTCAGAATCACACGGTTGTGTGACTTCCATCCAGCCAGTTGGTCAATCAGTCTGTGACAGTGTACGTCACTTCCGCAAAAGCGCAATGCATTTAGGGTAGTTAGCGCCATTTTTGTGGTGAAGAGACAGCAGCAACGAACAAAAGAAAACTAACAGAGAGAAGAAGTGTTCTAGTTGCTTCCTTTGGAAATAATGGGACACTGGTGCTGCGTCAAAGGATGCAATAGTAATTCTAAACAGAAAACAGCAGATGCGGCCTTACGGTTTTTCGTATTCCCCACTTGGAAAAAAAAATACGGACCGCAGACAGAGGACTTAACAAAGAGGCGTCGGGCTGCATGGGTCGCTGCTGTAAGAAGGAAAGACATCACGTTTCATAAAATATCTCCTCATGCTCGTGTTTGCTCTCGGCATTTTCACAAAGATAAGTCCTTGTAAATATACACTAATAGAAAACAACACGCTGAAATGGTTTGCTTATAAAGTTGCAGGAGTTCATGTAAACCTACTGAAACATGCTGTGGAAGAGAAGCAGAAAGTGATGTGTTTTTTTTATTTCTTTTTTAGACCGCTAAAATTTAATAAATAATGCATTCTCTGTATATAATCATTTACACAATCTGCAATACAAATATTTATTTTTAATGAATAAATATATATAGAAACACTTTACATATAAAAACACTGTACATACCCACTCGTCAGCCAACTCACTGTATTTATTCATCCTGTGCAATCTACTTAAGTTTATTTATTATAATCCTTTGTTCGTCTGTAAGCTTTTCAGTTTATTTATTTACCTCTGGCCTTACTAGTCCGATGTACTTGTGCTGTTTCGGTATAGCAAATTTCCCCACTGTGGGACACATAAGGTTATGTTATTAAACATCTAATCTAATGGGCTCTGTTATTTAGGTGCTTTATATAGTGTTTTGAATAGATGTGTAAAACACTCAACCTTTCATCTACTTTGCAGGTCAACCCGCATATGAGATGATGGAGACTGACCCAGACTGGGCTCCATCCCTGCATCTGGGCCACACTGACATCAGACCAACAGACACAGATCGCTCTTTAAGACGTGGTTATCGGGAACAGCTGAAAAAGAATGCCCTGCAAGCAACTGAAACGGGGCTCCATCAGGCTGATGAAATCCTTGAGCAACAGGATGAAGTTACACATGAGGCGACAGAGAACCCTAACCAGCAACAGACTGACACGCAGAAGGCTGCTGAAAACGTTGGCCGGCCAAACACCAAGGATGACACAGAAGGTGGTCGTCAGGAAGGACAGACAGAATGTAACCTGTGTGTGCTCAGGTGTGCAGAGATGAACCGTCTTTTGGAAGACAAACAGAGAGCTGCGGCGTGAACTTGATGAGCTGCGGATCTCTGATGGCTTCTTTGGAGACAGTAATGAAAAAGTCAAGTACTATACGGGTCTACCAAACTTGGCAACCTTTATGGCTTTGTTTAATTTTCTGCTGCCTCTCATGTCTGCTCAAAACAAAATTCTCAGTCCATTTCAAATGCTTCTGTTAACCTTCATGCGTCTGAGATTGGATCTGCCCTCAAAACACCTTGCTTATCTCTTCCGTGTTTCACCAAAGACAGTTTACAGAACATTCAATGAAATGGTGTCATTTTTATATGCAAATCTGAAGCGTGCAATTGTGTGGCCAGATAGAGACACCTTGCACAAAATTATGCCTCATCAGTTTGTGGAGGCCTTTGGACATAGAGTCACAGTGATTATTGACTGTTTTGAAATTTTCACAGAGAAACCTGCTAATTTGAAGGCACGTGCCCAGATGTTTTCCTCCTACAAGCACAATCATACAATGAAGTATTTAATAGGCATAACACCCAATGGAGCTATATGTTTCTTATCAAAAGGGTGGGGTGGGCGTACAAGCGACAAACATATCACCTTGAACAGTGGCTTTCTTAACATGTTGTTGCCTGGGGATATTGTGTTAGCTGACAGAGGTTTTGATATACAGGAAAATGTTGGCATGCTGTGTGCGGAGGTCAAGCTTCCAGCCTTCACAAAGGGGCGCTGTCAGCTGGATGCTAAGGATGTAGAAGAAACAAGGAAGATTGCACATCTAAGAATTCATGTCGAAAGGGTGATTGGAAATGTTTGTCAGAAATACAAAATATTAACTGGAACCATACCCATAAACATGCTGTTGACATGTGAAGGCGAAGAAGTTACTTTTTTGGACAAGATTGTCACTGTCTGTTGTGCCCTTACAAATCATTGCCCTACTGTAGTGTAAAAATGAAAGCCAGATCAAGTACTGTTTCAACTTTATTCTTCTTTTCACACAAATAGAATTTTGCTTTTTTTAAAGTTTACTTTTTTTTTTACTTTTGAAAAATAACAGCAAAAAAAATGTGGGTTTCACCATCACTTCAAATATTAGCAATGTTTCTGAAGTTGCAAAAATGTGTGTACAATAAAGAGTGGAGTTTGAAATTTGAAACAAGCGTTTTTATTTTCTTCTCAATGAAGCAGAGAATTTATGAAAATGCAACACAAAATCTCAAATACATAGATAATGTCGGTGAAAACAGGCCTGGGTAAAGAAACGTTGCTGGGTATCATCCAGTAAGCAGGTTGGCCAGTCACTGTAACTGTCTCTCTGCATCTGATGACAGCCTCCAGCTTGAACAGCATAGCTGCAACATGTGTGCATGTCTCTGCGATTCCAGCCATACATGTACAGTGACCTGATAGTATGGTCCCTGTTGGTTCAATGATGGCCCAGGGTTTTAGTGGGGTATCATTAAGACGTTAGGAATGAAGGACCTGTAAGATGAGATTTAAGAAAAAAAAATTAGTAATCTGAAAAAATTGGTAGGCTTGAGAAATTTACTGTACTGTAATAATTTGTTAATATGATTAATTGTTTCAGCCCTAGATAAAATGATTTTAGCTACACAGAGTAACCACAGCCCAGAGGTACAACTTCTAATATTAATATTTTAAATGCTCAGTGTCAGTTCCTCTTATAGTTCCAGTGCACATGTAATTATAATACATTTATTTTCCGTCCTTTGAATGTATTATTTTTCATGATCCAGAGAGAGCATAATAGAAAAAAAATAAGAGTGGGTTTTACCTCTGTTTAGCTCTACACAAATCTATATCTTAAGAAGAAAACACAGGATAAATCCACATATTACAGACATATTTAGACTATGTTTAGTTAAATAGACACTGTCCTAGTCGCAGGTAAATTTAAATGATATCCTTTTCAAAGTGGAAAAAGTCCTAATTCCACATTCATCAGAGCCAGTGATGCTTTAAGTCTTGATGAACAGCATCTAGTGCATGTAGTGCTTATAACATTTGTATTAATGTTGCAAGACATGCTGCTGTTCTTTTTAAACAAAATGAGCCCTGAAGCTCACATTAAGCATAAAAAAAGAGCCTGCATATTTTGCAAAGGACCAATGAAACTTAAGAATAGTGTCCCTACCAAAGTTGAAATCAAACCTACGCCCTTGGATTCACAGTTCATGCAACTTAACTCATTTACAGCTTTCTTACCTTGGTTGTGACAATCGTGTTTGTACATTCATCTGTACATTCAATGATAATGCAGCGCTCTCCTCTTGTTTTCTGTTGTTTTGTTTTTGTTCCGCTCACCACAAAAATGGCGCTAGGGGGCGTGTCAGTCACGTGACTGACAAAGACCGATTATATCTTGTTACCTGCATCCCCCCAGATAATCATTACTGGGTCTTCTGTTTAAGGCACACCCTATGATGTTGTAAACTGTTAATAAAAGGCTTTGCTATGAAGGGATCTGTGTGAGAAGGTGCTGGTTTTCCGAGCCAGCAGCTTCTCTCCGCTCTGAAGACGCTGACGTCACAAAACCCTGTCTCTGTGTTGATTATTTCCTTTTAATCTTTTAAACTCACATTTCTCTGGATTAAAACCCAACACAAGCATCACAAGAAAAATATTTAGGAATAATTCTGGATGCTCAGTTAACTTTTAAGAGCCATGTCGATAAAATCTGCAAAACTGTTCGATCAAATATAAACTGTTTTAAAATTATTAGACATTGTTTGACACTTCACTGTGCAGAGATGTTTCTGAACTCACTGATCCTCTCACATTTTACCTATGGAGCTACTGTCTGGTCTCAGACTAATCAAACTATTCTCAAACCACTAGCAAGTCTTTATAATCGGGCCTTAAAGGTTTTATATCAAAAGCCAATTAGATTCCATCATTGTCACATTTTGGCATTTTGGATTTTACAAATTTCCTAAATTATAACGTTTTAAAAATGATTTTTAAGTGTTTAAATGGACTAGCACCAATACCATTAAGCGATTGCATACAGAGACTGCAGGGCAATAGCAGATCTACCAGAGCAGCTTTGGATGGAAATTGTAAGGTCCCCTTTCGAATAACCACTTTTGCTCAAAGTGGATTGTCTGTGAGAGGATCTGCAGCTTGGAACTCACTTCCTGTTCACTTAAAGTCTGCAACCAGTTTTAGTATGTTTAAAAATCAAACAAAACTCTGGTTATGTCAAAAACAGACCTGTACTCATTTTTAATTTTTTTTTACTTCTCTGTTTGTATATATATTATGTTGTGTTATTTGAAATTATTTCACTTCAATTTTTAGAGTTATTTTTAAAAGCCCATCTAGGGACAAGTGCTGCGAATTAGCTGTTGCTATTGCACCATTATGCAAACATGGGACTGCTGTTTCATTCAGTTTGTCTATGTAAATGTGTGTCTGTCCCTATCAAATAAACTTTAATAATAATAATACATTTAGGAGATGGTCGAATCTAAGGAAAAGTAATCATATATGTAATCAAGCTGCGTAAAAATATTTGTGCCCCATGCCAGCACATTGCCTTGGATTCAGTATACTAACCTACATGTTCATATATATTTTGGAAACAGGTCTTTTCCAGCTAAATAACAGAAAATGTATGATTTCCTAAACATCTTTTATACAAAGGCAACTCCCATTGATTATCGGTGTGTTAAGCTGATCATGAAGTCATCAGAAAGGCTTCGTCCATCTGTTAAAATTTTTTAAGACTCATCTTTTTAAGATGTCATTATAACAAAAATTCCTGTCAACTATGCATCATAATGCTACATGTTGTTGGAGAGAAACAGGCTGCAGAACCTGCAGGTTGGGGGCGTTCCACTTCGGGACAAATTTTTTTCGCTTATTGGTCAGTTGCTAACAAGTCTCTCTGACTGATTAACGGATGACGTCATGTCCATTATAGCTGAATGTCATCTTTGAAATGCAGCATCTTGATTAAAAAGGCATTTTTAAAGATGAGTGTTTACTGAAATACTTGAAAATTATGCATATCTGCTGACAATTATGAGTTCTAAAATTGAAGGGATTATTTTATGAGTAATTATTTAGGGAATGTCTTAAACAAAAAAGAGTAGCCTTATAAAGCAAGATTTATAAGTACCGTCTTTCCACCGTTAAAAAGTCTGCTACAGCTTTGAGATTTAAACTTCAGCTTCGATTAGTACTTTGTGTGTTTATCTTGTGTGGCTGGCCCTATTAGACATAGCTTTGGCAAGTATAACAGATTTGGGTAAGAAATCGTTTAAGATCAATGAACATTTTTCTGTTAAAATATCTTGACAGTCTTAACTCTTGGTAAAGCTAATTAAATTGTGAATTTCTTAGCTTTTTTATCTCTTATCAACCACACTTGGTTTTTGTTGAAAATTTTAGAAATTATATTCCTAATACAGGTTAATTGCCTGATAAAAATGGTTAAGAATAAAACTGTATACCTACTTGCTAGACTTTAGGTTATTGTATGAGCTCCTCAGCAGCCTTCATGTGCTGCAGAAGCCTTTTTATCTTTTATTTGTATAAGTCAGGTGTTGCACTAAGGAAACACCTCAAACTTGCATGACAGTGGTACTTAAGGACCAGAATTGACATTAAAAACTGGAGCCGAAACTTGAACTGACGACCCTTTGGTTGAAGAGCAAACCTCTGCAGCCATCACCACTGTCACCCCAATGTTATATTAGTTATAAAACTGATTTGAAGCAGGAGGGTGAGATGATTAAAACAATTATAAATTAATGGTAGCTGTAAATGTAAATCCTAATCATTAAAGACATTGGTTGAGCTGAAAATGGCATATTTGCTGTTCTATGAGCCCTAATGCAAGCCTGGTTATAAGCCCTAGAATGAAACAACAGGTTTCCTTCCTTTTATAGTATGCTCATAGGTTGGTTTACAACGAGCGAAGATGCTGAGCAAAGACGCATCATAGCAACAAGCACTCACTCACTAAAACATCAAATCGTTGATATGGTAGGGTGGCCAGACGTCCTCTTTTTACCGGACATGTCCTGCTTTTCATACCTAAAAAAAAATGTCTAGGGGGAATTTCAAAATCGTCCAGGATTTTGGTCGACTACAGTCCTGCATGTAATCAAAACACACCGGGCATTCGAACCGAGCCGTCAGCTCTGGGCCGGTCACTCCGGGGCGAACA